TTGGTCTTACTAAACGCGAAATAGGCCTTCAAAAGGTGTAGAGCGGAAGGGCTTCGGAATGAGGGAGGCTTCTGGGATCTTTCCCTTCGGTAATCTCATGATGACAGGCTCATCATCAAGGGCTGATCGCAGCCTGCGATCCAGGTTAACTTTGTCTTTCCACCACACATGAAGATTCTCATCACCCTGCTGTTGAGGTTACTCTCCCCCGCGGTGGCCGGAGATCATCCAGCTCACTCGGGATCGGAGCCACATGCACTGCGCTCGCTTAATAGAGTGGTTTACCGCAAATACCAGCAGGGAGATGACCTATCCGCAATGAAAGAAGAATACCATCTTCCAGCTTGTGATAGTTTCCCATGTTGGGTCGCAGTGTCCAGCGAAGCTAAGGTGCGGATACTACAAACTGCTCTACTCTGTCGGAAGGATGTATAGTTGTATTGAAAGAAACATCGAATCAGCATACGAAATTTTCCGTCGATCGGTTCGTGCATTGAATGCAATGTAATGCATTTCCGCTTGGAAGACAACGGCCGGTCTCGCAGCACTATCGACTCGCTAGTGTGAGTCAGAAATGCATTGAGAGTAGTAGGCTGCGTCGAGCTGTTTACGACGACTATTGCAAAAATAGTTTCTCCCATAGACCGTCGTCGGCGTGGTCGTTATGGACATCCCTGACTATAGGACACCTGATGATATCAAGACTGCAATCAAAGACCACAGGTAAGTCCTACTATTGAGGGGGATCTACCGGTCCGACCTCCCTCGGCTGGAGGTCTCCTCAAGCGTTGTCTTCATAGGCCGAAAGGGAGCAAGAATGGAGAGATTGGAGAGATAAGTCTTGTGAGCCGAATGCTGCCATTCTACGAACGGTGATTACAGACAGGTTTTTCAGGTTTACGTCCTCAAAGCGTGGCGGAGGCAAGGAATTGCATTGACACTCCTGTCGGAAACCTTCAAGGAGGTGATACCTACGATGAACTTCCCTGTCAAGCAGTGAGGTCTCTATTCCCATGGAAGATGGCCATTGAGAGTGGCCTTCAATGTTTGCTGTCTTGCAGCTTCCCAAGACGTACCCGAACTGGGGTGTAGTCTACCTACTGGCTCACCGCGCAGACGATCCCGCGAGAGCACTTTATGAGAAAGCCGGGTTCATCAACATACTGGGTGAGTTTCTTCGTATCTTGCTTGGCTCAGTGCATGTAACCGTACACTTGAAGAAAGGCAAGGCTCGAGCTTTCAAGCTTTCAGCTGCTGTGACTCAGCATAAAGCTCAGATGTCGTCCACAATTTGTCATCGAAAATAATTTGTAATCTGATACACTCCCTGTTCGATCCTCAGATGATCCTGAAGATACTGCTGTCGTCTACGCGCGCTATAATGAGAGTTAGTGGTTCGAATATGGCACCCCCTCATACGGTATGAGTCATACCCCCCGTATATCAGGGTATTGTGAGTCTCATACTAGGGTATGCTGGAGAATCCTACTTGAAAGCCTTCGTTTGGAAGGCATTTTTCATTATCCGAGCCCAGCTCGTTGATACTTTTCACCTATCGTAGGCATGCGATGGTTCGTTATATCGTTATTTGCTGAGATCACTCTTTCTGGTTCGATTCATATCAACGAATTGTGTTCACTTGTGGTGCCAGGCCTGGGAATTGCTGCTACAGAGCGCGGAGCTCTCACACAGAGGCAGGATGTCACGATGTTGCAGCAGATATTTTTATACCATGCTTGAGGCTGATGCGTGACTTTAAGTTCAATAACAAATCTTATCCCATCAGTGATTCATCGCATCAGCATCAGCAATTTAATCAAGCTTTATACTTCACGTCCGCCAATGGGACAGGCCCAGCAGTGCTGAGTCAGCACTACAGACGGTATAGCTGTGGCGCGATGGAGTCGACTTGTCTAACGTCAGGATCCCATCAAATTGCACATAGTGGGATAGCATCTCCACCTGAATAGAAGTTGTGAATCGGGATTCGAGAAACATAAGTTCAAGTGCCCCATGTCACGTTTCGAACAGACCATGACACCACCACAGCCACCATCATGCCGTAATAGAGAGATAACTTCACCGATGAGCTTCGAATCAGTGCCTTGATGGATTGATATATATGATCTGTCTAGTGCTGACGTCTCAAGGAGTAAGTTTTACTTCTCAAAAAGTGCACATCTGACCCCACAAACTATTCTTACATCACAAACAGTCGTCAATGAGAGTGAACTTTGGTCTATGACAGAGTAATCTAGCCAATACGACTTTCTTCTGTTCCGCATCGGACAGGTTGTGGTGACCACAAAGCTAACAGAGTTCACCTGACACCAATGAGTCAATACTAGGATGGCTACTAGCAGTGTCCCACATATACGTATGCACTGAGCTACTCTGTCCTCGCCAGCAGGGCTCTCTGGAGGGCCATGATGGCCCTCCAGAGATATTTGCAGACCTCCTGCAATTCTTGAAACGTCTACCTGCAACCTCCGCAATCTATTGCTTAGCATTGGACTCTCTGATCATATACAGCTTTTGCGGTAACAGTACAACCCCATCTTTGGGACGAGCCAGCTCACCAATGCCTGCAAACCGCATGTAACGATACACGCGACCGAAAGCCACTCACATATCGGCCATGCTCTATTGAGTGTACGAAGAAACGCCGACTTGCCACTCCCACCTGATAGATCATCCACTGAGGAAGCGTGTTGAAGTGCTATTTAATAGGTTA